TCACTGGCTCCGGAATGAATTAACATGGGAATTGTCATCCCATCAATTCGGCGCTCGTGAAAGAAATCCACCGACTGCCATTCTCCGCCTATCCACACCCATTCCTCTTGGAAACCGTGGAGACTTTCCGGAATCTCAGTGACAATTTCCCCAACTTTAACACCATGCTGCGGTTTTGCCCCGGCAAAAAAGCAACAAGACGACTCAGCCACCCTTCTCTTCGGACTTTGTTTGAAGGCAAAAATACTCCTCATCTCATCGCACGAAGGAAGTCCCTCACCCCTCTCGTGCAGTAGCACCATCAATCCGATTATCTTTTTCCAGCTATTCGGCGTGATCTGGCACAACGGTAACCCCCAACTCCGGAGGTATTCCGTGATCAAGTTCGGCAACGGGAACCTTAATCCCGACCTCAAACTCTCTGCGAAAACGCCTACACAACCCGGAGGGGGACTTGTTATTCTCTCCCCGGGATAAAGAGCAAAGATTTTCACCGAAGGGGGAATCCGAACTTGTTCCCTTAACATGACGACGTCAGCGTCGGTAAGAATACTTGGCTCGCCAATGAAATCAATCGCCGGATCAGGCCACCTCCGCACCGGTCTTCTCCAATGAGGCACCGCGAGGTCGGTTGCATTATGCTCAACTACCACGTCACCATCCTCGTCGTTTAACTGGATATTTAGATGCCTTACCAACGACGGGTCCCACCGGTGATATTCAAAGGCCAACTCGACCAATTCCGAATCATGATAAACATCCAGCGGAACCGACTCCGTGCTCGATGAACTAGCCACCGCCTTTCCCTTTCCTTTCGACGCCATCGTACGATTGAACGAAATACAAGAGAAATAACACAAGAAATTGAAGGAAAAGCTTACCGAAAACCTCTCACACAGCAAGCAAGGAAGATTCTTCAGAATATCAGATGAACTCAAACAACAAGTGATATGAAAGCTCGAAAATAAAAGCACAGGTGAAGGAAACCCGATCAAATATTACCAAACCCTATTTATAATCGTCAATTTGTGACCGTTGGGTATCGTCATTGGGGGCGCGTCGAACCGACGCGACCCCTAATTCTAACCGACGCCGCCCCTTCATCTGATGAGACACCTACTGTTACACGTGGCTACCTATTAAAGCCGACCGTTACCTCATTTAAGACCATTACGGCGCGACCGTTCGGCCTAAACATTTACTCGTTGACCGTTACGACCGTTCACCTCTTCTGCCGTAACTGCTTGAAGATTATCCCAAATTCACCAAGTGTCTTCACCTCGGTATACAGTCTACACTTCGGACAGATGATCCACTTCGGTTACCTCGGACACAGAAGACCGAAGATGACCATCCGAAGACCATAGACCATATCCTACTGCCGACCTTTTACCGATCCAGGGCCTCTA